GCAGGAACATGTCTCTTTGTGTGTGTTTTTTAGTCTTTTTAGATGTGTTTTATAAAGTATAGACAGTGCCTGGTAAATTCTTTTTTTTTAGTTCAGTTATTTGAAGCAGTCCTTCTCAAAGTATCATGTGCTTATGAATCACCAGAGCATCTTTTTTAACAATACAGGTCCTGATTCCTTGGGCCTACAGCTGGTACTGAGACTTCTGCATTTCTGCTGAGGTCCCGGTTGATGCTCATCCTGGTTCAGGGGCAGTAATGAATATTAATACATTTCTGACTGTATGAATTAAGGAAGGGGTTAACTAGACCATTCTTGTGGAAGAACGCAGCCTTGTACTGTAGATAGAGGTGGCAACACCAAGCTGCTGGGCTGTCACTTAAAAGAAAAGAAAAATTGTAGACTGCACTGCCAGAACACAGACCACAATGAGCAAACACAGTCGCCAGGAACCCGGTCCAAAGTGCCGTGCCACGGATTGTTTGCTTGGAGGAGGAGGACGGACAAAGACAGACATGGGGGAATATAATTGATGGGGGAACCAGAGTGTCATTTTTAGAAGGCAGACAGTTGTGTGACCACTTGTGACCACTGCCTGAAATGTGTGCTCCTTGAGCTGCCTGGACGACTCTGACAGTTTGTGATCAAACAGCCCCATCATAGACGTAGAAGCTGACCTACACAAGACTTCACACATGAAGCCACCTTAGCACAGGGGTGGGTACTTTTACCCTGAGAGTTTACCACTCTCGAGTGAGTGGTATTAATGTGCCACTGCGTTTTAGTGTAAAAGCTAGTTTTTACTGTGTTTTTACTGTGGCTGACAGTTCGTCTTATCAAGTAGAACATCTTAATTTTAAACTGAGCTGGGCCTGTAACTTGTCATAGGGAGTTCAGCTTCCTCTTAGCAATAGCAAAGAAAGAATGCTACTTATCAGAAGAGGCAGAAGGGATTGTTAGAGTTCTGCTTGCTAGCAGAAATACAAGATGCCCAGTGAAATTTGAATTTCAGACAGTGAATCATTTTTTAGCAATATTTGGGATATAATTAAAAATTATTAAAATAAAAGACTATTTGTGCATTATCTGAAATTCAAATGTAACCGAACATCCTATATTTTAACTGGCAATAACAGTAACTAATTCCACTCCAACAGTGACACCAGAGGGATGGCTACTTAGAAAATGGTACAGTAGCCGGGCTCGGTGGCTCAGCCTGTAATCTCACGCCTTTGGGAGGCTGAGGTGAGTGGATTGCCTGAGCCCGCAGTTCAAGACCCGCCTGGGCAACTTGGCGAGACCTCATCTCTACAATAAATCAAAAATCAGCCGGGCGTGGTAGTGCGCACCTGTAATTCCAGCTACTTGGAAGGCTGAGGTGGAAGGATCATCTGAGCCCAGCGGGTCAAGGCTGTGGTGGCCAGGAGCGGCCACTGCACTCCAGTCTGGATGATAGAGTGAGACTCCAACTCAAAAAAAAAAAAAAAAAAAAAAGTAGTACAGTAATTGTGCAAGCAGTTTAATTCCTTCACCTGCTTCTCCAAAAATTGTAATGTTCTAAAGTGTGCTGAGAACTCAGAATGGTTGAAAGCCAGTGTTTACCAGAAGGGATGTTATCAAAGACTGGTAGGGCCCTGGCTAACTTGAAGAAAAATAAATTTGACTCTGCACCCCAGCTAAGAGCCCAGATTCATAGTGGTTTAAGGTTAATAAAAGAATATATGGGGGGGACACGAACTTACGATGTTATGAAAGATGTCCAAGCAAAAACTTACCAGAAAAATCGATTAAATAGAAGTTAATACTGTTTCCAAGTTTCCAAGAGAGTCTAAGATCTCTTAGAAATAAGTATTCAGGCTGAGTGCAGGGACCTGTAGTCCCAGCTACTCAGGACACTGAGGTGGGAGGATCACTTGAGGCTAGGAGTAGATATCCAGCTTCACAGGCACAAGTGACAGTGCTGATGAATTCTTGTGACTTATGTAGTAATTGAGCCAAGATTAAAGGAAACTAAAGGAACAGAGGCCCCCAATAGCTAAGGAAATGAATTTTTTAACCTAAAATTAAAATTAATCAATAGGGTACACTAAATTACTCTACAGGGTAAAAATGTCTTATTACTGTGGACAGATAAGGTTTCTGAAATATGGGTCCTAAGTCACAAGATGCTTTTCCCATCAGATATGGTCAGGGCAGCCCAAGTTTTAAACACTAGGAAATAGCTTTATGATTAAAAATTATTAATAGATTAGTGGCTCCAGGTTGGTGACACTTGCCTACGAACACAAAGAATCTGCAGCACTGAGGAGACACTGAGTATGAGCAGTTTCCGGAACATGCTGGGAGATAGTTGGTCTAGTTTCTGTCTTTGTGTTGACTGTTAAGAAAAGTTAGAGCCAGATTTGCGTCCCATATTTGCTAAGTTGCATTGCAGCATAGACTGTTGTTGTTTTTTAACCTTATCTGTGGCTTCCTCTTTTTCTACTCTTTAATTTATCTTTTTTGAAGGGGAAAAAAAACCCCACCAAAATTATTACTCTGATACAAGCCATTTTATGTGATGTGATTGATACCTATATTTGTTGGTGAAATTTTAACAGTTGACTAAACCAGAAAAAAATAAAGATAATTATACTTTATTCTCACCAGCTTTAAATTTTTTTCAGCTAAAACAATAACATTTTAACATGTTAAGTGTATTTTATTAACTTTCTAAATTTAGTGCTTTGACTTAGAACAGATGTTTTTATTAACTTTTAAATTTAGTGCTTGACTAGACAGATGTACATTTATTCACCATTTTTGTTACCTGAGGCCGGGGTCTTTATATGGTTTTACTGATTATAGTTTCCCTCTGCCAAAACCACATCAAGAAGTATCTAAGATTTCGAGCCATTTTAGAAAAATGTGGCTCAGAGCTTACAAACACTAGCCGAATTGCAGACTTCTCCATTTCACAACACCTACCACCACCCACATTTCAGTGGTGCATTTTTCCTGAACAGCCAGTCCTTTCCTAATGACTTGCATTTATTACATCCTTTCTTAATAATTCAGCTCAGTTTTTTAATTTGCTTTGCAAAATAGTTATGGAAAATGTCAAATAGGAAGTGTGGATAGTAATGAGGCACTTGGGTACATGCCACCAAGCCTTATGTTATGGTAATCTCTTTAGGAAAGAAAGCTTTTTCTTTCTCAGAAGTATCCACAAATTTGGTATCTGCTGCTCTCATATTTTTAGTATATATTCCTGTTTCTAACCATACATTTTATGTACTCTGTTTAAAATTTTACATGAATGTAAAACTTTTTCACTTAAGATTGCCTTGAGGTTTATCCATGTTGATCCATGTGATTCATGCGGTTTATTCATTTCCATTGTTATGCAGGGGTTCCCTGTATGATTTTCTCACACTCTCTCACCCTTCACGATTAGGTTATTTCTCATTTTTCACTAAATGAAACAAAACAGTGAATGTGGAAGGTATATAACTTGTATATAACTTATGCTCGTATTGGAGATACTTTTCTCAGCACAGACACCTAGAAGCATAAGATTTTGATTCCAGGGTATGTGCTTCTCCAATTTTGCAAGAAATTGCTAAAAACATTACAAAGCAGTTGCAGCTATTTACGCTCCTACCAAAGGGTAAAGAGGATGTGAAAGTTGACTACATCTTAGTTAGCACTAGGATACCAGATTTAAAGACTTTTTTTCAAGCAAACGTTTGAGAAATGGTATATAATTTTCATTTTCCTAAAAACTGTGAGGTAAACACTTTGTATGCAATTTTTGACTTTATGAATTGCCTCTTTTTCTGAAAATTGCACCTATGTTTGTTTAGTTTTCCAATAAATTCTTTGTCATTACCTAATTGTTTTTTAGAAGTCAGTAGTTTCACAAATATTTGGTATAGTAATCCAAACACCACTTTTCATATGTATTTTTTCTCCTTTAATCATACATTTCTTTGTAATTGAATAAACTAATGTGTAGTTTATCTATACTATACCAATACCACACTTTAAAAATTTAACATCTTTTAGTAAATCGATATCTTACTATATTTTCCTTCAAGATTATCTTGGCTTTCTTAGATCTTTACTCTTTCATATAAACCAGCTTGCTTAATGCCAAGGAGCTGGGGACTGGAATATCTGTGGGATTTTGATTGGAATAGCATTGAATTTGTTGTTGAATTCCTAGAGAATTCCTAGATTAAGCTTCCTGTGATCTATAGCTACATGTATTAGAGTATCTTTTTTGTTTTTTGGTTTGGTCGTGTCTTCCAGGAAGGACCTGTACATCTTTTGTAAGGTTTATGTGTTCTGTAAGGTATCTTATAGTGGTTTCCAGCATCCCTGCTGAATTCTCTTACTAGCTCTAATTGTTGTTGAGCCTCTTTTTTTTTTTTTTTTTTTTTTTTGAGTTGGAGTCTCACTCTGTCACCCAGATTGGAGTGCAGTGGCCGCTCCCAGCCACTGCAGCCTCGACCTGCTGGGCTCCAGCAATCCTTCCATCTCAGCCTTCCAAGTAGCTGGAACTACAGGCGTGCACTACCATGCCCAGCTAATTTTTTATTTATTGTAGAGATGAGGTCTCAAGTTGCCCAGGTGGGTCTCGAACCCGCGGGCTCAGGCAGTCCACTCACCTCAGCCTCCCAAAGCACTGGGATTACAGGCTGAGCCACCAAGCCCGGCAAGCCTCTTTTATTTCTCATGTAGATATTTATATCATCTTTGGGTAATATTTCTTGTTTCTTCTCTTTTAATCTTTTTGTGGTTTCAGAATCTGTGATAGCAGGTATTCTGGTACAGTTCTGACTCCACAAGGAATCCTTCTGTTTTGTTAATATAATAATATTTATTGTAGGCTTTTGGTAATCATACCTTTTCATTCTTTGCCTGCTTTTAAATGGGTGTTTAGTTTTTATCAGATACTTTTTCAGTTTATCAGATAAAAAATTTGTAGCACAAATGATTCACTTTATGTTTGTTCCAGGGTGATCAGCCTATGACCTAGACCTCTAGACAAACTAAAACAGGAAAAATTTGCTAGAATCAAGAATGATGGATCCATGTTCAGTTGGAGTCCAGCTGCGAACCACAAATGAGTGCCATAAAACCTACTATACTCGTCACACAGGCTTCAAGACTTTGCAAGAATTGTCATCAAATGATATGCTCTTACTTCAGCTTAGAACTGGAATGACACTTTCGGGGAACAACACAATTTGCTTTCATCATGTAAAAATTTACATTGACAGATTTGAGGATTTACAGAAGTCATGTTGTGACCCATTTAACATACACAAAAAACTAGCCAAAAAAAATTTGCATGTAATCGACTTAGATGATGCCACTTTTTTGAGTGCAAAATTTGGAAGACAGCTTGTACCTGGTTGGAAGCTTTGTCCAAAGTGTACGCAGATAATCAACGGAAGTGTGGATGTTGATTCTGAAGACCGCCAGAGAAGAAAACCTGAATCAGATGTACGTATAGTAATTATTTTTTTCTAGTATGTGACTTCTACAGTGTGGGATTATTTAGCTATAGGGAAATAAAATCTACATTAATTACTCTTTGAGCATACAATGAGCTTAAAGTGGAGGAAATGAAAATAAATGGTGGTTCTAAATATTTGCATACACCCAAGGTCAGATTGGGTGATTGGAGTAGACTTGGGAAAAGAATAATGCAATATGCCTAAGACTCCAAGCTGCAGGTTTTACTGCTAAGACATTAGAAGTGGCTTTTCAAACATTCTGGCAAAGCCAGGACTTAACTTAATTTTTTTTCTCATACCAAACCAACTCAGTGGCATGTACCAGCCAGCAAGGGTCTTCATGGTGCGATGAATTTCCCTTTTTAAGAAGAGCTTGGAATCTCTTTAACCCTTTGCACTTGGATGTCCGCTCTGAAGGGCATTGCACCTAGCAAACCATTCAGATGTCCTCTCTCAGGGGACATAAAGAGATCACTCGTGGTTATACAGGACACACTTATACCAGAGCAAATATTTCAGAAATACATGTTTCCTTGAAGTTTTTCATTCAAATTGCATGAAAAAGCAAATAAAGAGTTGAAGTATAGACTGAGACACGATTGATCAGTTGAGAAGTGGTTTTTAGGAATAATGAGTGCATCCTTCCACATCATCTTCAAAGAACAGGCTGGACAATAAATTGCATATTATTGATGTGGGAGGAAGAAAGCGAGACTGCATTGTCTGCTCAAATAGAAAAACACCAGGTGGAAGACGTCAAACAAATTACTATTGCACAACATGTATTGGTGAACCTGCAATGCATGTCAGTGACTGTTTCACACGTTAGAAAAATGTAAGATATAAAATTTTGATTTCTTTATCATACATAAGTTCCTCAATGTGTAAAATTCTGTTATAAGCCAAATTTCACTGCAATAAAATTATGGATTCCAGCACTGTACTATTTAATATGAAGCGATTTATTTTTCGACATTTTGTAAAAACGTGGACAAACTGTGTGTAGGTGATCAGTAAGATGTCTCTGAGTGCAAAGGGTTAAAAGGACCATCAGAGAAGTGACTTTCAATTTTTTTTATCTCAACCTTTGACACATGCCCATTGCTTGAGTTTTTTAAATGCTTGTGAGTTTTCTTTGCTTCTAGCTCTGAATTCTTGCTTGGTTTAGTCAAGGCCAATTTTAGGATTCCCTGTGGTCAGAAGGGATACACATTAGGTTGTAAAAGAGTTTCTTCCTTATTCACATGCCTACATGCAAATTGTTGAGTGTGTCAGAACAACTTAAAAGTTCATAAAGCATCTTTGTTGTAGAATAGGACAGACGTGTCAGAGGAGCACTTCTCAACATTGTTACTAATTGTCTCAGTTCTTGCTGCTGGAATATTTTTCTCAGTTTTCTTTTTAGATTATAAACCAAATTATAAGATAATTAAAACCTTAAATTAGCCGGGCTCGGTGGCTCAGCCTGTAATCTCGCGCCTTTGGGAGGCTGAGGTGAGTGGATTGCCTGAGCCTGTGGGTTCGAGACCCGCCTGGGCAACTTGGCAAGACCTCATCTCTACAATAAATAATAAATTAGCCGGGTGTGGTAGCACGCGCCTGTAGTTCCAGCTACTTGGAAGGCTAAGGTGGAAGGATCACCTGAGCCCAGCAGGTCAAGGCTGTGATGGCCATGAGTGTGCACTCCAGCCTGGACGGCAGAGTGAGACTCCAACTCAAAAAAAATTATAACACACTGTTTCAGGACTTGCAACTATTCTCTGCTCTTAACATGTATAAAATATAATAATAAAGCATTTTCGTAAGGATAAGGATTGTTGTTAGGGACCTCAGTGGGTTATACAATGGTTTTCTGCCTTTTTCCATGTTGGGAACAGCCATTGCAGTTTCCACCATGTCTGTCCTCTCTGCATCTAATATGCCATAGACTAGAATCAAATAGTGGAAATTTAATTAATAACCACTAAGCTCTGAATGTGGTCCATAGTTATGTAAATTGTCTTGCACTTGGTCTCTAAAACTTTTTTTATCTTTTTGAGTGTTCCAGACTATCTTTCAGGCTAAGTAATAATCTGGGTTAACATTAAGTGAAATATTAAATCTATTTGTTGCCTGATGTTGAGATTTGAGTTGATAATTTGTTTGCCTTTATTTAGGGAAGAACTGCTAAAGCTTTGAGGTCATTACAATTTACAAATCCAGGAAAGCAAACTGAATTTGCTCCGGAAGCTGGTAAAAGGGAAAAAAGAAGGCTTACAAAAAACGCAACTGTTGGTTCAGACAGGTAGGCATTACATTTGTTGTGCACTTCATTTCTTTACTATTACATTGTAATAAATAATGAAATTATTATTTTAATAAGAATCTGCAAGCAGTTGATTTATTATGGTCTCTGTGCAAACCTCACTGCTCATGTTCATCTGTATTTGCAGCTGCTCCCTAGTGCTAGCGTCACTGCCTCAGCTCCATGCCCGATCATCAGGCGTTAGTTTCTCATAAGGAGCACACAGCCTAGGTCCCTCCGTGGGCAGTTCACGGCAGGGTTCGCACTCCTGTGAAAATCTAATGCCACTGCAGATCTGACAGAAGGCGGGGCTCAGGTGGTAATGTGAGAGTTGTGGAATGGCTATAAATACAGATGAAGCTTGCTCGCTCACCCGCTGTTGACCTTCTACTGTGCAACCCTGTCCTTAACAGGCCACACTGATCCATGGCCCCGGGATTAGGGACCCCCGATTTAGGAAATACATCTTGTAAGCTTACCTCCCATAGGTAGTGATTCCTCTGATGGATTGAGACAAAGTAAACTGAAATTCTTCTGGATAGGATTCACCATTGTAGATGATGAACATTCATGATTTATGAGAGGAGGTCATAGTGTCAGCTTTAACAGGAGTTTGAAAGTTGATTCCACCCTCCTGGATGACTCTGAAGGATTCAAGACTTCAGTGGAGGAAGTAATTGCTGTCGTGAAACAGCAAGAGAACTAGAATTGGAAGTGGAGCCTGACAGTAATCAAAACAGCCTGGTATTGGTACAAAAACAAGCATACAGACCTGTTTTTGTACCAGTGGAACAGGATAGTTATTCCAGAAGCAAAACCTCACTTTCTTAACCAACTCATTTTTGACAAAGCCTCCAACAGCAACCACTGGGGAAAGGAGAACCTATTCAGTAAATGGTGCTGGGAAAACTGACTGATCACATGCAGAAGATTGAAACAGGACCCCTACCTATGCAAAAATTAACTCTAAAGTGATCAAAGACCTAAACGTAAAACCTCAAACTATAAGAATCTTAGGCAATGCAGAAGATACCCTTATGGAAATTGGAACTGGCAGTCAATTCCTGATTAAAACCCCAAAAACCCATGCCATAAGAGATAAGATAGACAAGTGGGACCTCATCAAACTGACAAACTTCTGCAAAGCAAAAGAAACCATCAAGAGAGTGGAGAGACAGCCCACAGAATGGAAAAAAAATGGGAGGCTGAGAAATTGAGGCTTTGCTTCCGGATGTCTATCCTGTTCCATTGGTCCATATGCCTGTTCTTGTACCATTACCAGGCTGTTTTGATTACTGTAGGCTTATAGTAAAGTTTGAAGTCCAGAAGTGTGATACCTCCTGCTTTGTTTCTTTTGCCAAAGAATCCATCAAGAGAGCAGGGAGACAGCCCACAGGATTAAAAAATATTTGCCAACTGTATATCTGACAAAGGCTTAACATCTAGGATCTACAAGGAACTCAAATGTGCCGAAAGGGAAAAAAACAAACAACCCAATAAAAAAGTGGACAAAAGACATGAATAGACACTTCTCAAAAGAAGATATACGAGCAGCCTCAGTCATCAACAGAGAAATGCAAATCAAAACCACATTGAGATACCACCTAACCCCAGTAAGAATGGCCATCATTAATAAACAAGAACAGATGCTGGCAAGGATGTGGAGAAAAAGGAACACTTCTACACTGCTGGTGAGAATGCAAACTAGTGCAACCTTTTTGGAAGATGGTGTGGTGATTTCTGAAAGAACTAGAAATTGACCTTCCATATGACCCAGCAATCCCCCTATTGGGAATATACACAGAGGAACTCAAATCATTCTACGAAAAAGATACCTGCACACGTATGTTTGTTGCAGCTGTATTCACAATAGCAAAATCATGGAACCAACCATGCTACCCATCAAAGCTGGACTGAATTTTTAAAAATGTGGTACATATACACAGTGGAATATTATGCAGCTATAAAGAAGGACAAACATGGACTTCACAGCAACTTGGATGGATTTAGTGTCTGTTTTACTCAGTGATCTTTCACAGAAACAAAGAACAGAGTACCATATGTTCTCACTCATAAGCAGACCTTGAACAATTATCATAATACTATAAGAAAGGGATTGGCAGTAGTGGGAAACGACCAGGAGAGGGAGGGGCACACCTCATTAACAAGGGCACCTGCACAATGAACTTTTGTATATTCAAACCTGAATTGTATCCCACATCTTTAAAGAAAAAAATACTAAAAATAAAAAAGAAGTGGGCCTGAAGATATGACTGAATTGCTGCAGCCTTGTGATAAAATTTAAATGGATGAGGAATTGCTTCATATAGATGAGCGCAGAATGTGATTTCTTCCTGTTAAAGATGCCGTGAACATTGTTGAAATTGCAACAGAGAATTTTGAGTATTCCATACACCTAGTTGACAAAGCCGTGGCAGAATTTCAAAGGATTGACTTCAGTTTTGAAAGAACTTCTACGTAGGTAAATGTCATCAAATAGTGTCAGGTGCTACAGAAAAATCTTTTGTGAAAGGAAGAGGCAGCTGGTACAGCAAACTTCACTGTTGTCTTATTTTACTCATTTGCGACTGCTGACGTGAATTTACATAATTCCAAATCCTGTTCCTGGTTGCCACTGATGTGAATTTATCTTATCGTTAAAGACTGTTTTTTCAAGTTTATAATCTGAATAAAAATACAAAGTATGGAATGATAGAGTGGTGTCTGAGGCAAATACTGGATATGTCTGCAACTTTCAGCTGTATTGTGAAAAAGGTAACAATTTAGAAAAGACCATTTCACTTGTGCTTAATGATAAAAGTTTGCAGCAACCAGCTTTAGATTTGTTTTATCTTCACCCTCTCTCAGGAAAGTGAAAAACTTGCCAGTCATGAATGTGTTAAGAAATTGCCCCAGCCACCCCATCCTTTGGCAATCCCCACCCTGACCATGCAGTAGCCATCAACATCAAGGCAAGACCCTCCAGAAAAAGATTATAGTAGGTGAAGGATCAAATGATTTTTAGCATTTTTCACAATCAAGTGTTTTTTAAAATATATGAGGGGGATCAAAAAAATAGAATTTATTTATAGAAAACTGTACTTACTCTTACATGTTTAAACTTCAGGCACCTTCAAAGTACTCTTCGTTTGGTGCAATACACCTATCGAGATGTTTTTTCCACTGCTCAAAAGTTTTTGAACTCATCAAATGTGTTTCTGCTGTTTTTTGTTTCACCTCTTCCACATCAGTAAGACATTCCCCTTTGAGGACTCTTTAAGTCATTTGGGGTTAGATCGAGTGAATAGAGAGGGTGGGGCACCCAGGGGTCCTGGCGTTTTAGGTCAAAAACTAATGAACACTCAGTGCAGTGTGGACAGGTGCACTCATAAATCACCCATCATGAAATGGGCAAATGCATTGAAAGACTCTTCCCCCAAAATTCACAGAAACCAAATGCTAGCTGATACACTGATGCCAGTGGATTCCTAGAACACTTATCTAGTGTGGGAAGCCTGTACCACAAGTGACCCGCCGTCCCGAAAAAATTATGTTTTTTTTCTGGGTCCCTCTTAAGTACTTTTTTAGACATAAGACTGTTGGATACCTCATAAACTATGGCACCATGTAAACATGTAAACATAATTTAATATGCACTGGTAAGTAAATTTGTGTAGCTCGCTTTTTGTGACATTCCCTAGATTGTGGTAGTGTGGAACTGTACCCACGGTATCTCCAGGGTGTGCCTGTAATTGGTATATCTGCTCAATAGCTAAAAGATAATTAAATGCTATGAGAATGCAAGGTTGTTTTTTATTTTTTACATGTCTGAAATAGTGCAGTTCTGGCATGGTCAGCAAAACGAGTGGGAGAACTAAATTGTTTAGAATATAGTTCTTTAAAACAAATGTTAGTATAGTCACTAGAATTTTTTTAAGTACAATCAGCATTCCTACATATGCCTTTTATTCCATCTGTTAAAGTTTGCCATTGAGTCGTTTAAATGTTTTTTAGTAAGATTTACTAGAGTTCTTTAAAAAAAATAAGCAGATATAAAAACCTATAGTGTAATATACTGTAATAAAAATAAAACTCTGTTCCTAAGGCAGTTAAGAGGTTGGTAGCCAGTAAAATGAAGAACTGTTAACCAGCCACTCTTTTTTTGTTTAAGTTAAAGGGAAAATTGTTGCAACAGAAATATACTTATTTTTTGGACAGAGTTCTTGTCCATGCATTCCCTTGCTGCGTTGACTTTTCAGTGGTCTTCCAGAGGCACATCCAGCTTTCTGACTCTACCTCGCCTCTCTAGAGAGAGGTCTCTTCTTCACGCGTGGACATTTGCCACTAATTGTGAGGGAGCCTTGAACCTGATCAGCTAGGTGCCACTGCGGCAGAACCCGATTGCTAACAGGAAATATGTATCTCCTTCATTTTTTTGTTACTGTATTTTCAATGAAATACTCAAAAACAATGAGGTGCAATTCATTGTGTTTCATTTCACAGACAGGTAATTCCGGCAAAGAGCAAAGTCTACGACAGCCAGGGTCTCCTGATTTTCAGCGGGATGGACCTCTGTGACTGCCTCGACGAAGACTGCTTGGGGTGCTTCTACGCCTGTCCTGCCTGCGGTTCCACCAAGTGTGGAGCAGAATGCCGCTGTGACCGCAAGTGGCTGTATGAGCAAATCGAAATTGAAGGCGGAGAGATCATTCATAACAAACACGCTGGATAGTTTGTGGTGTCAAATGACGCAGTCTCTAGAGGTCTGCTCTTTATATCTAAAATTCTGTCATTCTAAGATACATTTTAAGATCGATTGCTAAATGACAAAGATTTGAAAACCACCTCAGTTTGCACTCTGATTTTGCATCTGGGGTGCCTTAAAACTCATTACTTGATGTAAATTTAGATGGGCTAGTCCTCAGTGTCTGCTTTATGCCTGTCTGGGTCAACATGAACGAGTAGTGTGTAGGCTGTCCTCCCTTTGCGTGGCTCCCGTGGGCACAATTTCAGTGCCCAAGATTTAGTGAGAGAACACCAGTCTTTGAAGGCAAGTTTCAGCTGACTGTGAGAGGTTGTATGCAGTGCCCTTGTCTGCCAGCTCTTCGTTCTTTGTGTAAATAAACAGGTGGGCTTCACGACCACTGGCCAGCCGTGTAACTCCTTTCAGACTCTGCCAGTGGTGGGTCCCGCGCATCTGTGACTCAGTTCACCCAGCAAAGCGTGTGGTTGTGCGGTCTCCTTGTCAGCACGCTATCAAGGTGGGTGGTCGAAGGAATTGGCCGATGAGGGTGAACATGCCACAGAAATGCAAACTGATATTGCCGGAAGAATTTGAGTCAGATGAAGCTGGGGGTGCGGATGCTGCTCTGCCCTGGGCCTCGCGATGAGCCTCTGAGCTTGGGGAGCGCAGCGCATCAGCACAGACCCGCACGGGCGTTGGGCTGTGAGGAGAGCGCACAATGTTCCAGAGAAAGGGAGGGCAAGAAACTTCCGTCAAGGGTGTTGAGTGTGAGTACCGATCTGCTGCGCAGCTTGAAAGCACAAACAAGAACATGGCAGAAGCTGGTCCAAACTTGCAAGGTTCCGTTGACCATGAAGCAGGGAAGATGCTTACTCCGTATCGTAAGGTATCTGGGGAAAAGGCAAGCGCTGTTCAAGCTACTCTTAGTTTCTACAGTGAAAGAAAACTTTGATTCTCAGTGTTGCTAATGTTTTAAATTGCAGGGTACTGAATAAATATTTTTAAACTTTTTGTTCTAAATTTATAACTGGTGGTAAGAGTTTTTAACATTTGGACAGATTTTTAAAGATAATGGAACAGTCATCAATTTCCCCATTGATGGCTGAGGTGGCTTTGCAGGGCTGTTTTTATGGTCCCATGCCACCACGCAAGATGAGGACGGCTTGTGGCAGGAACTTAAGGAGAAACTCGTTTTGATACAACTGGTTGGTTGAGTGTTAAACTGTTTTTGAAATAATCTACATATTTAAGTGCTGAAATACTTTTTTCTTCCCCTATGTTCTTCAAATAAAAGTTTTAACACTATAAATGTTTCATTGTTTATATTATGCATTCTTTGTCAAAATGTGACCTCAGGGACAAAACTTTTTTTATGTATAAAATGTGAATATAAATATAATACATAAACTTACTGTATCTATGGTATTAAAATTTTAGAGTGGTTGATTTGGGTTTTAAAATTATCCTTAAGGGAGTGATAATTTTTAAAAGATGGAGAAACACTTGTTAAGATAGAGCATATAAATAATTTTTAATTGATTGAATCTTTTAAAAGGCCTGTCATTTGTCTAAAAGTTTTTGTCACCCAGGACACTGCACCTAAACTAGGTTCCCCCCCAAATACAGCAGTTTAATCAAATAAGCTTTTAACAATGTGAAATGTTTTGTAGCTACTAAAACTGAATTTATACAGCTAGTTTGGACTGACCATCAGAGGTTTATATTAGTCTTAAAATTTTGCTTTCTCTTTAAAATGACTAGTTTTACTTTGATGGAATGGCATTTTCAACTTTGGAATTATCATTTTTAGGCTTTATTTGCTTATTGGTCTGTTATCAGAAGTACGTGAGCTTATCACTTCTTTGATCTGTTTCAACTGAGCACTGGCAAAAATAGTATTTTAGCTTTTTATACTTAATCAGATGCTAGGTTGTTTATTTTTTCCTGAGTTAAGGAAATAGTTTTTTATTGAAGGTACCAATATTCCAATTTTAACTGAACATCCAGGATCTTTAGTTCTTAATTGCGTTACTACCTTTCTTTTTTCTTGTTTTTTTTTGGTTTTAAGTATGACTTAGTAAATGCTTAGGCTTTTCATAGAGACTAATTAAAATCTTAAGTTTTTTCCATTTAAAATGGAATATCTTTCTGATGGAATGAATGACTTTAAAATTTAAATGGCTGTTTTGCAACGTTTCTTAAAACTGATCTGTGTTATTTTTCAAAGACAGTAATTAGTTTTTCAAGGGAAAATTTTTTGAACAATGATGTCCATTTGTATGCTCTTGCGCATATAAAATGTTTATAGAGAAAGGTAAATCTGCTTTAGAATAGGTGGTAGCAAAAGCTGTGTTTTGGAAAAATTATATAATGAGTTCACTTGCTATTTTTTAATGTGAAATAACAAATATAGAATACAGTGAAATAATTTAGATTCTTTTGGTATTGCATAAATATTCCAGGTGGCTGAATACTTTAGAATTTTATTACTCTAAAGTAAAAGTTATATAAACACTTGATTTCTGTTGTGTAAGTCCTAGTGGAGAAATTAAGACCCCAAATGTTGGTCTTACACAAGGTTTAAAGTGAAACACATGTATATATTTGAATAAAATTAGTGGTATCCCATGTCACCTTTAAATGTTTTTTTCCAAATATATGAAAATGGCTACTTACCTTCGAATCTATGTATAATTCTTCCATTTGTAAAATATCTAGTTCTATATAATTTGTCCCACAACCTAACAGTCTATTCTAAAACTGCTTTCCTGGCATGGTTTTAAGCAAGTAATTTTTGGCAAATGAATTTTGAAATACTCATCTATATACACGTACATAGTAACTAATAATAAAATTTTAGTAAGTTTTAGCATGGTTCTTAACTTTTTGGGAGTCAGAGCCCCCTGCAAGGAGCTGATGAAAGCTATAAACTATCTTGGAAAATACCTGCATTTATGCACTCACAAATTGCCTTGTCCAGAATTCCCAAACTGGTATTGGAGTGCCTGGGTGACAGAAAATATTCTGTGCACCGTATTATTTTTTAAATTGGGGGTGGCTATGTGAAATGTAGCTTGGTTTGTTTTCTAGCACTGTGGATGGTTTTTGAATGAAACCAGAAGAGTTCACCTTGAAACCAGGTCCCACAGTAGCTGCATTCCCCCCTCCCACCTCCAGAAGGTGAGGGCAACTTGAGTGTCAGTGTTGAAAGCCGGGGTGTCTCATCTGGGCTGAGCTTCAGTAATTAGACGTTTTCTGCTTATGCTATTGTTACCCTGCTAGAAATAGCTTAGCGTACCTGTGCGGAATTCATGTGTCACTGCCTTGGTTTTTGCTGACATCTGCTGGTGTCTTCATGAAAATAAACTGCCCTCTGCTGTGACTACTTTCACGTAGTGGCTTCACTTCTAAATTAAACTGTGAACACATAATTACATAATAGCCTGCTGAAGTGGGTGTTACAAATCCTCAGAGCAAAAAGGTTTCTCTGTAGCACTCATAGGTCCTGCCCAGTGGCAGTCAACCACATTGTGTTTAATTTTTTAAGCTTGTGAGTGAAGATACAGAAATAGGTACAGGCGGTTCTGAATTCTTTTTTTTTTTTTCTTTTTTTTTTAATACAGTGGAGGTACTTGGAAAAATAATGATTTTATCCATTTAAAAAATCATTAAACACTTAGTTTGAAAGGTGTCATAGACGTCAGTAGGTTATAGACCCCAATTTGTAGGTTATTTGTAATGACATAGTTGTGAGAATTGACTAATCAAGATAATCTAACATACAGAAAATAAAGGGAACTTACTCGGTAAAGCAGATTATTAATTGGAATAGTAATGTACCATCTTCAAATGCAAAAAGTATTCAAGCGTGAAAAGACTTCAAATTTGAAAGTATTTTATTACAGTCCTTTTAAGTGGCCCAACTAACTTTTTCCTCCCGGAAGCCTGAGGGAATTTTTATTTATTTTGTAAAACTATGATTAGAAACCTCATTTCATGTCATTTCAAGCAAAGAAATATTTAACTTTTAAAGAATTGACTTAATCTCCCTACCATAAGGTTTTGAAATAAATGGATTTAAAACTAAAATGTTTATAGACATTGCTAAAATTAGCAAAACCTACCAACTTCAACAACTAATACTTGAAAACACAGAAGTTTTGAACTTAAAATTTTCTTTGTAAACTTGCTGGATGTCAAATTTTTCTCTTACTCATTTCAGAGCCACATTTCGAACTGTGAGCACATTTAAGTGAAATAAAGTAAAAACCAGACACCGGCTCCAGTAGCAGGATCTTGGTCTTATCAAGCGAGAACTTACCTAAACCAAGACTAGAGAGTATAGATATTTTTTAAAAGGAGACCTAAAACCATTCAAAATGCAAATACTGGCTCTGGAAATACCCCTTTGTTATCAACAGCCAATCAGTTACACTGAAGAAGTTGACAAATCCAATTTAAATGTTTTTATTATCTTATGCCCTGGATTTACAATTTGGGTTCAAGGTAGTGTTCTTAGTCATCTTGAAAATTAGGTTGGTTATTTGTTGGTATAAGACAGAGTAATAGTGACAATATGGGTGCCATGTAAATGGGTTTCACAAGCTTCCAGGTAAAGTGCAAATTTAATTTTGGCATTGAGAGAGGTAGAATGATCCCGGGTATCTAGTGGGTTGTGGCATCGTGAAGGTTTTTTTTTTGAGTTGGAGTCTCACTCTGTCGCCCAGACTGGAGTGCAGTGGCCGCTCCCGGCCACCGCAGCCTCGACCTGCTGGACTCCGGCGATCCTTCCGCCTCAGCCTTCCGAGTAGCCGGAACTACAGGCGCGCGCTACCACGCCCGGCTGATTTTTTGATTTATTGTAGAGATGGGGTCTCGCTGCCCAGGCGGATCTCGAACCCATGGGCTCAGGCAATCCACTCACCTCAGCCTCCCAAAGGTGCGGGATTACAGGCTGAGCCAGCTCGTGAAGGTTTTTAATAGCAATCTCATGCCTTCCCCA